CCACCGACTGCTCTGACTGGGATCACAATAGAGGGTCCTGGACAGAGCTGGAAAAGGATGTAGAACAAAATTCTAACTCACAAAAAAAAAGACCAGATTTACTGGCCTGACAGACTGGAAAAACTCCAAGAGTATGGCCCCCGGACACCCTTTTAGCTTAGTGGTGAAGTTCACCATTCAGCCGAGGACTGGACAGCCTCCTAAAACGAAGCGGGACTAATGAGGCACAGCAGTCCAGGGACACGGACTAGAAGGCAGGAGGGGATAGGAAAGCTGGTGATAGGGAACCCAAGGTTGAGAAGGGACAGTGTTGACATGTTGTGGGGTTGTTAACCATTGTCATAGGGCAATACGTGTACTGTTTAATGAGAAACTATTTGCTCTGCAAACCTTCATCTAAGGTACAAGAAAAGAAAAAGAGTTATCTAAGTGAGATCAAATTGACAACAGCAACTCAAAAGGTTTGATGGGAAGCCTAGGGGGCAGTGATTTGAAGATAATGGTCATGGAATAATTTGGTAAAGGACAGTGAGAATAGCAGCACAACTGGAAGAACGTAATTGATATCACCGAATTGTACACGTAGAAACTTTTGAAATGATCTAACTTTCGCTGTGTATATTTTCACCCAAAGAAAGGTCCTCCAAGGTCGGGAAGGGGTTGTTAACCAATGTCATAAAACAATACGTGTACTGACCTGTTTAATGAGAAACTATCTGTTCTGTAAATCTTCATCTAAAGTACAATAAAAAAAGTTCAACTTTCAAAATTTAGAAGTATCATCAATTTAAAAAAAAGTTTGAAAATAAAGTATAGCAATGGTAATATAGTATAGCAATGGTAATGAAGTTTCAAATAAAAAAAACTTCTCTTTTTCACTAAGAAATTGCTTAAAACAAAGCAATGATTATACATGGTAAAATTAGAAACCCAACCAAGAGACAGAAACTGTATAATAATTTGAACAGGTAAAGTTTAATATTAAAAAAAGTATGACAGGGGATGAGAATAATGAGGGATTGTCTAGTACCAAGTAAGTGTAAAGATTACAGGAATGAAAAATATAAGAACTCCACTACCCCTAGGGCTGAGACAGAACACCCAAGGAAGAACAACCTCAGGGCTGAGATCCAGATCCCCTTGGAGGGAATGGCCATGGCTCGCTCAATGTCAGAGAAGTTGCTGTAGTGCCACGCCAGTTCAACTTGCTAGAAATCCTGCTTCTAGGGTGCTAGAGAAAGCTTTCATTGCGAAGTGTTTCGATGGAGGCCTTCCAATATGAAACCACTTGAGGTGGGTGCTGGGGGAAGCTGCTTGTGCTGCAGGAGCAGAGTGGAGTCTGCTGAGAGCACACATGGTAACCAGGAAGAAAATTTCTTTCCTTCTGCGATATCTCCCTCCAGTGCTGTCCACAAAGCTTAACTTTGTGTTGAGTGGCAAAAGAAAAATATTTAAAGGACCCATCTCCATTTCCACAGAGCAGGAAACAAGAGTGAGTTTAAAGTTAGGCAATACATTGATAGCTGGCACAGTCCACCCCTTTGGCTACTCAGCTTCCCTAAGTACTCTTCTATACATCTTTGAACTCTCATGCAATTAAAAAAAAGAAACAAAGGTAGGTTCCCCAGCACCAGACTCCTGAAACGCGGGTGGCTTCTCCAGCACTCAATCATTTATAATTCCTTTTCTAAGAACCAAGCAGATGAGTGATACAAGACACCAATCGGAAGAGTAATATAAATAAAGCTATCAACTGGGAAATTCCACAGCTTCTTTCACACTTCACTTAAGTGACAGAAAGTTGTTCCTTTTATCTAACATGAATCCTTTTTATGCAAAGAAAGTGTTTTTAAGAGCACTGTCTCTGGTACCAGACAATCTTGGTTAGAATCCCAGGTCTACCACTTTTAATTCTAGGACCTTAAGCAAGTTACCTAGTGTTTCTTTGCCCTTGTAAAATAGGAAGATAGTATCTACCTCATTGGGTTTTTGTGAAATCAACTAAGCGAAGATTAAATCAACTGACCCGCACAAAACACTTATAATCGAACTTTGCACAAGTCAGGAAATGCTGACTATTATTATTTTATCTGTAGAGATGGAGTTAATCTTCTATCACCTCACAACAAAAGAAAAAGCGCCATTAGGGCAAGTGACTTTGTTTTGTTACCCGCCTTATCCCCAACACCTAGAAAAGTTGTTGGCACAAACCAGGTGCTCAAAAAATACTTATTTAATAAACAAAGCACTGATCACAAGCCCTTCTCTACTAAAAGACATTAACAGCCACAGTTTGAAACCCTAAGGAGCCCTGGTGGCACAACAGTTAAGCGCTCAGGTGCTAACAAAAAGGTTGGTGGTTTGAACCCACTCAGCTCGTCTGCGGGAGAAAGACTTAGTGACCTGCTCCTGTAAAAGAGTACAGCCAAAAAACCCTATGGTACAGTTCTCTGTTATATGGTCACTATGAGTCAAAACTGACAGCACCTAACAACAACAATTTGAAGTCCTAAAATTATAAAGACCTACAGCTCAGTAACTGAGGAACAGTTAACAGGAAAAGGGGGGGAAAAACCCACAGGGAAAAAATGGTATCAATCTCTTCCTTTAAAAGACCAATAAAAATCTGCAACACATTCCTTAAATGTTTTAACTTGCCTGGCTCTGGCATATACAGCTGTGTGACCTGGGAAAATCACTCTACTTGAGCCTCAGTTTCCTCTTATCAGGGGAAAAGAACAATTACTTCAAAGGATTTTTGAAACACTTAAAAAAAAAAAAAGATAATGTATAGGACAACATCTAGGACAAAGCTCGTACTCTACCGAAACTACATATTGCCTAATGCAATCTCCGGTTTTTCTAATTTGAGCACTGCCCGATTAGCTTTCATTGTGCACTTTATCTAAACTTCAGTATGGCCAATTATGCAATACCTCAAAATCTTCTTCTAAAACGTTTCTGTGAAAAGAATACAGGAGTGTGTTGTTTCTTCTGAAGATAAAATAAAGCATCCATATCCAATTTAACACAGAACCAAATAGAACAAGTAGCTAGCATTAGCTTTAATGGTGAATATTTTGAAAAGCAACACTACTGATAACCACATCATTTAGCAGAGCAGAAAGAATTTACTCACATTTTCACAATACTGACATCTAACTTTCTAGAACTTGATTTCATCAATTGTTCTGGCTATTAATTTCCCAACACTGAAGTAAATGTCCAGTCAAAAATTATCACAAAATACAGGTAATAAGAACACTACTATTAGTGATGTTGAGCAGTCACAACCCACAAAACATTATTATTTTCTATTGGTAAGTAGCTGTGGGCAAAGCTCTAACTCATTCTTAAGTTACAGAAACAATTTTATCATTGACTCAAAACAGAAAGTGGAGAGATCTATTTTTCTGGCATTACTAGAGCTCAATTAAGTGTTTCTAAAACTCATAGCAGGGTTATAACATTATCTTTGCAAAAAATGATACAAAATTATGGATGTTAAAACTAGATTTTATCTATTTTAAAAGCACCACTAGTCTTACAGATAAGTTTTTAACTTATTTTACAGACCAGATATTTGTGGTCTAGGGACTAAGCTTTCAAGATTTGTAGGCTCCACAGTCATTCAGTCAGGATCCCTGGAGTTATAGGTGAGAACAGCTAGGCCTGGAGTGGTTAAGTGACTGCTTCCCCCACTCTTTCTCCCAACAAAGACAGCCAGAGATAGTGGGGATAGTTTTCTCCACTTTATGAAAAATCTCACTATCAGAAAAATTATTTGAAAAGCTACCTTTCCATTTAGTATTATGTGATCAAGTTATCATTTTTTTTTTAAGATACACAAGGATTGATAAAAGTCCTGTTCTACTCCTTTCCCATCACCTTCTTGTAAGAGCTGAATCTTGAAGAAGCAGGTGGGGGCAGTAGGTGTATGTAACAGAAGCCACCATTCATAAGTGGAAAACTTTGGGATGTGACACCACTACCAGCTTACACAAGAGAAAAACATAAACGAAGTTACTGACAGTAGGAATGACGACTCACCCAATTTGAGTTAAGAAACAAAAGCACACCGCTACAGTGTATCTTAATAACTATGAAATATTTTTGTTTAAATTGTATCCTCCTTCCCCAGTTTTATACACTCGTTTTGTAACAAGTTTCAGTAAATTTCACATGCATTTAAAGCAATGCTTAAGAGTCAGGATGAACTTAAGCATCCGTATACGATAATACACTCTATACTTGATAACTTGCTAGCTACCTACAGGTAAAAAATGTTCCACACGGTATATGGTTAAGTGCTTTCAGTGAAACACTTTAACATTTTTAACTCTGAAAAAAAAATCTAAATAAGCAACACGAGGAAAATAATCTAATCTTACTTAACCTTAAACACACATATAAATAAGGCAAAAGGAGAGAAGTCCATCACTATCCACGATGTTGAAGAGTCCCCCTAAAAAGAGGGCTAGGATGGAGGGACGCCTCCTTAGGTGCACAGGGCAATTCAACAGCTATTCCTCATGTTTTCCGCATTCTGCAGCCCTCGATAGCTCAGTGTTGTGGCTAGGGACATAAACTACAACCTGCACCTCAGAGGATCCCAGCATTTCTGCGTAGTTCAAACACAATTGCTGGAGAAAGACAGGGTTGTAAGACAGGCGAGGCTGTGCCACCCCGGGAGGTCGAACGTGGGGCAAGAAACCTTTTCCACTCCCAATTGAAATCGGAGCAATGGGTGTATTTGCAGAATGGATTTCTCAGAAAGGCCCGATAAGACAAAGGCTGCGAGTCGGAAACCATGCCCAAGCTGAGAAGTGGAGGGCGAACCGCCCCAGCATCACACCGCCACAGCTCGCACCCGGCGCAGAGTCGCGCCCGACCGCGCCGCCCACGCTCCGGAAGTATTCAGAGACCCCCCCAACCCCAACCCCACCCGGCCCGGACTGACCCTCTCCCCTACCCGTATGCCCTCGGCCAGAGCTCCTCACCCTGGTGATTGAACAGTCTCCATATCCTGGTGAAGAGAATTCCCATTCTCGGGCAGCGGACCCCCCTCCAGCCACCCGGGCCGCCTGGCCTCCCCTGGCTCAGGCTGAGGCGGAGGAGAGAGACGTGCCAGAGCCTCCGCCTCTGCTGCTGCTGCTGCTGCTGCTCCCGTGCTTGCCGCCGGTCCGCTTCCAGGGAACCGGAGGGAGGCCGAAGCCCAGGCCGCCCTGCCGCGCGTGAGGCCCCGCCGCTGCAGCCGCGGCGCTCGCCTGACTCGCGGACATCGCCGCCGCGTTGTCTGCGACGAGCCTCGCGGGCCACCGTCCTCCCCCAGCTCCTCTCGGGCGGCTGCGGTGGCGGTGACCACGCGGGCGGGGGAGGCGAGGGGGCCGGGCCGGGAGAGCGCAGGCGCGCGATCGGATGGGCGGAGCCTGGGAAAGGGCGCCCGCCAGGCCATGCCTTATTTGCATAACGAGGCAACTAGAAGGCCGACGGCGTGAACCTGAGTTCTAGTCAGCGCGTGCTGCGGGTCGGGGCAGCTGGCTCTTGACGAATTTCCGTAGCGTCCCTGCTGAGTTTTTATGTTTTTTTTCTCTGTATTTCCGCCACAGAGCCATAATGTAAATAATCATATTATTGAATGCCCAGTACCCATCCCTTCTTATACTTTACACCAGAAGTCCCACATCCTGGCCCTCAAAAACGTGGCGTTCTGTAAAGGTTATTGAGAGAAGCCAAGAGTTCTTTCACGCCTCATGCCCCCGACACCCAGATGGAGCCAGTTGTCTTGCCTAGTCAGTCAGTAGACTTATGGACGTTTATATTACCTCCGATCTTGTCCCTTCCCTCTCTCACTCTATCAGGTCGATCTTGCTTGAAGCAACAATTCGATCACGTCACACACACACACCCCACCCCCACCCCCACCCCCGTTTAAATGCTTTTAGTGGCCATTAAAGCTGTTTAAGCAGGAGAGTCCAAATACCCTAGACTCATTGTCCTCTACAGTATGGCCCCAACTGTTCTTTCCAGCTATATTTTCCATTGTTTCAAGAAGTCATTCCTGTTAAGCAGTTGGTGAAATGTTCTCTGCTCTTCCAGTCTTTCGTCTACACCTTGAATAGCTACGTCCCATGCTATTAAGGTGTCGCGCTGTATTTAATCAGCCCTCTTATTATTATTCAGTTGAAAACTGGGATATACATGAGTCATTAGATAACTTGATGTCAGTGTTTTTGTTCCATGTGTTATTTTTTTTTAGCTGGGAAAGATACTTAACCTCTTAAAAAAAAAAATTGCCATGGAGTGGATTCCAACTCACAGTGACCCTATAGGACAGAGTAGAACAGCCCCATAGGGTTTCGAAGGAGCGGCTGGTGGATTCCAACTGCCCACCTTTTGGTTAGTAGTCTGAGCTCTTAACTACTGCGCCACTTAGCCTCTAACCAAACCAAACCAAAGCTGTTGCAGTGGAGTCAATTCCAACTCCTAGCAACCCTGTAGGACAGAGTACAACTGCCCCATATGGTTTCCAAAGAGCAGCTGGTGGATTCCAACTGCGAACCTTTTGGTTAGCAGTGAAGCTCTTAGCCACTGTGACTTAACCTCTAGAGCCCTCAGTTTTCACATATGTAAAAGCAGAGGGTTGATTTCTGAAGCCTTTGTTTGATTCTAGGTCATCTTATGAGTATGATGATTAGTCTGGAACTCTTGTTAGAGGCAACAGGTGGGAAGAAAGAACCTGGGGTTTACTCCTCTTCCACAAAGAAACCAGAAACACTTAATTCCATCCTCTTCTACTCCCCTTAACTTTAGTAAAAGGAAGAGGAAAAAAAAGTGGGAGCTGTAAAAGCCGTTTTGCACTGCTTTGCCCACCCTCCAAGAGCTGAATGAAATTAAAATAAACAATCAGCTACACTTTTCCACCTCACTTCTCCTATCTATGGAAACCTCTATGGCTGCTAACACAAAGATTGCAGTTTGAATCCACAAGCCGCTCCTTGGAAACCCTATGGGGCAGTTCTACCCTGTCCTATAGGGTCGCTCTGAGTCAGAATCAACTCGACAGTGTGAGTTTGATTTTGTTGGTTTTTCTCTTATCTATGCACCATTTTATCTTAACATATACAAAAATAACTTGTTTGATTTCTCTGGGACTTTTGGTTAAAAACCAAAGGTTTAAACTCTATAAAGGAGACTTATACAGAAAGGGAAAGAAAATCATTATGTTGATCTAAGTCTGTATTTACATAATAAAGTACTCTATAGGCTGATAGGAGCCCTGATGGTGCAGCGGTTAAGCGCTGTGGCTGCTAACCAAAAGGTCAGCGGTTCAAATCCACCAGTAGCTCCTTGGAAATTCTATGGGGCAGTTCTGCAGGGTTGCTATGAGTCTGAATCGACTCAATGGCAACAGGTTTGGTTTGGTTTTTATAGGCTATTAAGAAAAACAACATTGTGTGCATGACCAATTTGCATTAATTCTTTTCTATTTCCATTCTTGCAGCTATAGGTAATGCTTTTGGCAGTTCTAACATATTTTGCAAACTCTCCACACATCTCTGTCAACTTAATAAGTGGATGTCATATCCATTTCAATTATGAAGTTAGTTTCATATTTTATAATCTATACTAAGCAAATGATCTCCCAGATTATAAATGTCTTTCAAAAACAGATTAAATAAATAAGTTTACTTAATATAATCTTGTCAAACTATATGAGCCATGGGTGAAATACAAATTTGGAACTACAACTGTATAGGCGTAACTGGGAATCTTTGTTCAGTGATGTGAAGCTGGTTGTGAAAACAGACTCCTTGCAAGTTCTTGTAAAGATGAATTTATCCATGATTATAGAGATGTGCAATATGTCATTAGAGAGACTTCTGCTTCCAGCCATGAGAGAGAAGGATGGTCCAGAATTACTCTCCTACCATAAACAAATAGAAAACTGGACAAAACATAGGAAACAACTGTTTTCAGATATTGGATAGCACACAGTGCATGACTGTGCCCTGACAAAAGGGAAACAAGAAAAAAGAGTCTTAACATTGCCTAGATTTTTCTTTTTCTTTTTCTTTTTTTGATCTGTTGGCAATTCCTAGACTGCTACAGAGGGAGAGGGGCCCCAAATAGAGTCTAGCAACTTCTTTGAGTAGAGGTAACAGATCAGAGTTATAAGAGGCCATCTCACAATTTGTGAAGCAGAGTAACTGAAAGGAGGGAGCTACAGAGAAAAGCTCCAGAAACCTGCATAGGGGGCCGCTTGAGTCTTTGGCTGTATATGAATCTGAGCTTATGTGGGGGGAACCTCATGAAGGTGGCCAATAACACAATTTCTGGGGGAAAAACAATTACCAATGAGTTGTAAGACAACTAATTCCCAGAGTTTGTAGGAATCATTGGAGTTCCCTTCAGCCAGAGTGGTGAAAACTCACTGAATGTATGGAGCATGGAACAGAGATCACAGAGAAGCCAGGCTTTAGAGGAAGATTTTAATTAGCCTAAGAAAAAGCACTACTCTAGACAAACTTGGAAAAAAATCAAAACCAACACCAAACCCATTGCAGCCGAGTCAATTTCAACTCATAGCAACCCTATAGGACAGAGTAGAATTGCCCCATAGGGTTTCCAGGGCTGCAAATCTTTATGGAAGCAGACTGCCACGTGTTTCTCCTAAGGAGCGGCTGGTGGGCTTGAACTGCCAACCTTTTTGTTAGCAGCTTAGTGCTTTAACCACTGTGCCACTAGGTTTCCTGTAAAAAAAGATCAAACTAATCCACAATTGCCTGTCAAAACAAGTCCAACATTCTTTAAAAGAATACAACAAGATCAAGTCATCAACAATGTAAAAATTTATAATGTCTTACATCTAATAAAAAATTACTGGACATACAAAGAAACAGGAAAATGTGATCTATAAGCAGAAGAAAAACCACTCTACAGAAACAGATCCAGTCTCAGGGAGATTAAGTGATTGGCCAGAGCTCATAGCTTGAAAGTGCTATATGTGGCTTTGAACCCAGGCTGACTGACTCCATAGTCTACACTGTAACCATTAGGCCAATACGCGTGCTGTATGAAAGAGCAAACAAGATGTTTTCCTCCACAATCCATTTTATTAGTGGAAATTTGCTGATGACAAGAGAGGTAGCTTCAGGCAGATGGCCAGGTTGATGTGGTGATAGCAGTGAGCTACTATAATTCTTCCATTTGGGAGTTTCAGATTGTTGGTTGAGATACCTTGATAGTTGGGGCAGCCTTATATAGTACCTAATTACTGATATATCATTAATTCCATCAACATTTACTGTATTCCAGGCATTGTTTTGTATGCACGTTAATATCTACCTTACAATCATTACATATTATATATATTTTTAATAAAGTACTTTAGAAAGTTATAATGAGCTTTGGTTTCCTTCTTTGTAGTTGGTTCTAATAATCCATGCCCTGCCTACTTTCCAGAGTGGTTAGATGGATTAAATGGGATAATGTTTGAAATAACTTAGCATGGTTCTAATGCAGTGATAATAATCAATATAGTACACATATTACACATTTCTCTGAGTCGGAATCAACTCGATGGCAGCGGGTTGTTTTTTTTTTTTTTTTCCGGTAATGTGAGGAAAGTCAAGTGATGATCAAGTCATAGCATGGACAACTGACACTGAGCACATTTAATGCCAAGTTATAAGCTATATATTATGCATGGAATTTATACTGGTACAAGATACTGTTGGAAACTTCTGATAACTGCTACACTAATCGTTCAGAGGTCTCTTCGGAACAATAAAGTTTGCCTACTATTTTTTTTAATATCGTACTAAATCCTAAATCACACATAATGTGTGTGTATGTGTGTTTAACTTACAAACTCTTTCCTAATATAGCACAGTATTTAGGAAATAGTCATTTAATTGAATCTATTTTGAGGGTACATGTTCAGACTTTTTTTTCCTATAAGAGGTATAGGAATGCACCCATTGATTTTTAGTATCTCTTCAGTATATGTCTAGAATAATATAAAGGAGAGGTAAAACGCTAGTTCGAGTGTTTTTCTTTTCATTTATTATATAAAAGAAAAAAATTAATGCAGTTGGTTTGTACACATTTAAATTCCATAAAACAAATCCATAGAAATTAGGATACTATATGCATGCACTCTGCATTTTCTTTGCTAAACATTTTGGTTCACAAAAATAACACATTTTTTTCCTTTAAAGTCACTAAAGCAGAGGGAGAACAAAACATGCAGCACTGTACACATTTGCATAGTATATTTTACCCAGCATGCCTTGTAGAATGCTACACATACCTATACAAGAAAAATAAAAAGGGGCAAATTATCAAAATAAAGAAATAAAATT